GGGGGGGGTAGATAGGGCTTTAGCTATATAATTTTAACTATTTTGTTTGTATTACCTATTATAAAAAAAATATAGTAGGAGAAGGTTAATAACCTACAATAAGGTATCAATGACCATATTCATTTTTTTAAGTGAGCAATATTTAGACCAATTATTCATATAGTTGTCAATACACATAACATATAAGCATAGATTTAGTTATTACCTTCTGTAATTCCATTTTGTGTGAATGATTCCCAAATTTCTTCTTTCGACCATTCAGGGTTTGGCATACTATCTATACAATCTAATTTTTTTTGGATTTTATCTTCAGAATTAATATTATTGGAAGTACTATCCATAGAGCCCGAGTTTTCAACAAGCGTATTCTTATCAATTGTGCTGCCATTTGACTGATTAACTTCTAGATCATTTGAAACTATCTTCTTATCATTAGTAATCTCCTCAATAATAGCATGATCTTCTGTTTCAATAGACATATTTTCAATTAATGGAATATCTATGCTATTAGCCTCTAAGTGAATATCTTTATTTATATTAGTAGGTTCCTTTGGATGTTCATCACATAACTCAGATACATCAATAACAACATTGTTATCTTCAGTCAATATATTTGTATCAGATTCATTTATACCACTCGAAATACAACTCAACGAATTTTCAAAATTGTTTATTAGGTCCAAAGTATTTACGGTTTTTTCTAATAATAGTTCAGTACTTTTTGTTTGATCATCGATTTCATTTGCAAGCTTATTTGATTGGATTTCATGAGGTTTATCGGAAGAATCTTCTGTAGTTTTCACAGCTAAAATTGATTTTTTAGGTGATGCTTCAAAAATTGTGTTATTTATAAATTCTGGAGTTATCTGGGATTCAAATATTTCACTTTTATCATTATCTGCAGTAGAACAACAACTAGAATTAGCTTGTCTTAGTTCTACAACAGGAGCATTATTGTCATTTTCATTAAAATCAAAAACTTTATCAGCAGAACTAGTAATAGTTTCTTGAACTTTATTTATGGTTGATATAACATCATTTTCACTTGATACAACATTACTTGTAGGTATAACTTCGTTTGTGGTTTGTACTACTTCTTCATTTGGAGACTGTACGACATTACCAGACAATTGTATTTCACTCTTTATTTGTACAATTTCTTCATTTGAAGATTCTGCAACATTACCAGACAATTGTATCTCACTCTTTGTTTGTACAATTTCTTCATTTGAAGATTCTACAACATTACTAGACAATTGTATTTCACTCTTTGTTTGTACAATTTCTTCATTTGA